GGGTTTTTAATAATAAAGAATATTTAATTCTAAGAATAGTTTATACACAGAAACACACACACTATGTGCAGCATGATGGCCAATAGGTGATCACCTGCCACATGCCAAAAAATACACTAGATGCTTAACATAAAAGTGTCTTTAAGGCTTATCAGAGCAACAAATCAGGTATTCTCCATTCAAAAAACACAAAATGGCCTACAGATATCATTTAAAAGATGTATTTTTAGAAATATTTGTTAAATTTCCTTGTTAGCATACTTAACACTTTACAACACCGTTGGCTGAAGTCTGTAATCTTCACTAAGCATAATGTCAGCATAAAAGGTTACCATGCTGTTTGGTACTAAATTTTTCATATTTAAAACAACATTGCTTTAGACATTGCTGCATGAGTTATTTCTCAAGCTGCTGGGTTGACAGTCCTCTAGTGATGAAAGCAAAAAATAATAAAATGATTCGCAAGAATGTTTAAAGGTTGTATGATATTCAGTAGGCATAAAATCAGTGATAAACTTTCACGGAATGTTTTGGTTCGAGATGTATGCATGCAGTAAGGTAGCTTGCTATGGAGCTTAACTATTCATCATACAGATTTATGCTAATAAAGAACAATGTTTCTTCAACATGAAGTGTTTTATTTAGTGCTGAAGTGAAATTATGAATCAGGACCCTCCACATGCTATGAAAAAATGTCTACTGCACATGTGTGCATTAAGCATTTACGACTTTCTGGATCTTCTCCCTTTCACAAAAAAATTATATAAAAAAAATTCTGGTGGTCAGGAGGTCTGGATATTAGATCATTCCAGATAATGGATGTCCGGATTTTGGAGTTTGTAGTGTAGTAGATGAAAGATTGATTTTTTCATCAGTTTTCTCAAACCTGAAATACTCTATAAGGATAACTTCAAATAATTATTCAAGAGCTTGTTACTTTCAAGCAGATAAATAAAGAAGGGAGGTTATTTTCACTGCTTATGTGATTATTTATGCAGAGCACAACTTTAGTCCTTCACATCTGTATTTTATTTTATGAAAATGTAATTAACTTCTCTTTTGATCAAGCTTTCAAAGCAAATCAAATTCTGATATTCTAGCACTATCATCATTAGCTATAAATGTTAACTTACCTATTTGCCTCAAACAGACGTCCTTTTCATTAAGCAAAACTACTACCATTTTCAAGCAGAAGTTCCGAAAAACATAAAGGGAGATGGCTTTTTTTTTTTTTTTTTTTTTTTTTTTTTTTTTTTTTTTAATTCTACAAATCATCATCAACTGGTATGTCAAGGCGGATACGAAGTAGAAATCGGTGATAGCTTACACTGATTGAAAATTCCATGTTACCCTCTATTTCTGCTTTTGATCAGCTAAACTACCTGCAGTACCATGCTATGAGCAACATTTTAGCTCTTAGTATAGTGCAGTGGCTTGAAATCTACCCTTCCCACTGCTTGGTGAAAGTGTATTCCTAGAAATTGTTGCTAGTTGCCTCTAGTAGCTTCTTGTCAACAAAGCACATTGAGGCAACTCCAAGCTGCAGTTTTTCTGTAAGCTGCTCCAAGCTCCAAGCTTCCAAGCTGCAGCTGGAGGAGGGGTGTACTGTCACCAGCGTAGCTGCAGAGTTCGGAATCAACAAAAGTGTTGTTTTGCGTGCTTGGAAAACGTTCCAAACCACAGGTACAGCTGTTAGAAAGGTTGGAAGTGCCCCCCGAGGACGACAACTGCAGGGGATGAACGATATAATCGTCCTGCAGGCAAAAAGGGGCTGACAGCAGTCAGCAAGCGCCATTGCTCAGCAACTCTGCACGGCAATGGGGCGACAATTGTCACGGTTTACTGTGGCCAGACGCTTCACAAAGGGGGCCTATTCGCCCGCAGTCCTAAACGCTGCCTCCCGTTGAAAGTTCGCCACTGATGCCACCATTAACAGTGGTGCAGAGAACACAAAAACTGGACAACTGATCAATGGAGTCATGTCCTCTCTACGGACGAGAGTCGGTTCAATACCAGAAGCGTTTTGGTTTGGAGAGAGGTCGAAAGACGGTTTTATCCCAGTAATATCAAGGAAAGACACCGTAACGGTGGGCCTGGAGTTCTTGTCTGGGAAGGCATTATGCTGAACCAGCGAACTGAGCTCTACGTTTTCGACAGAAAGTCTGTAACCGGGGATCGCTATTGTGAGGAGGTACTCGTTCCCCATGTGCGTCTGTTCCGTGGTGCCATTGGCCCAGACTTAATTTTTACGGATGACAATGCACGGCCACATCGGACTCTTGCTGTTGAGGAGCTACTGGAAAGTGAAGATATCACTCAAATGGATTGGCCAGCGTACTCCCCAGATTTAAATCTCATCGAACATGCGTGGGATGCTTTGGGGAGACGCATTGCAGTACGCTTACATCCTCTGGAGAATACCCAACAACTGAAACAGACGCTGATTGAGGAATGGGCATTCCTACCGCAAGAAATGTTGCACCAGCTGGTTCTGAGTATGCAGAGACGGTGCGAAGCAACCATTGCAGTGACGGGAGGGCATATCCCATATTAAGGAACATCTGCTTGTTGTTCTTCCTCTTGGATAGACAATCATGAGTCACGATACTATGCGTTCAATAAAGCTTGTTTTTGTTTGATTCCACACCGTATGCATTGTATTCCTTTTTAAGCTCCGATGCTTTCGTCATCCTTTATGTACATAATACTCTCCTTCATTTCTGCATTTCATGTCTCTCAGTTGATTTCTCGTGGAGTTATGGCAAAAATCCCTGCTGTTGCTTAAGTTTTGCACACCAGTGTAATTTCACTGCATTTATAAAACAAGTTAGCATTAATATAAACACATTATTGTCATGGTGAAATGGATTTACCAAATTCAACACAAATTCATTAAGACAAATCTTTCTACTTCTTAATAGATTACATTAAATATTTAAAGTTTATCAATGTTTCAATGCTTCTGGAAATGTTCTATAATTTTTTATATCAAGTATTCTGTGTATTACCTTTTATACTTAGCTTTCAGTATCCAGCTGTCAGGCAGCAATTTAATGAATCATTTAAATAATAATCTTTTGGACTAATAAAATGAAAACAGACCTCATTATATGGTGTAATTTGTCTAACCAGGCAGGGTACAATGTTCAATTGCTTTTGCTCCTTACTACCTTATTTTCCTGAAAACAATTCAAACTGGAGAACATACATACTCAGTTTTATATTTTCTATATATAGATTATTACAAAGACATATAATTCCTAGCACTTTTTACTGGTTATAAATTACTAGAAACGACACACTAGGACACATTACAGGCAAAGTTATCATAATAACCATCACTTACAACACAAGACTATTCATTTCAAAATCACTGTAGCTTACACTAACCTTACAATGAACATCAGAAAGACACATTATTTGATTCCATAACATCGAAAAATAGAATAAATAGCTATAGCACATTAAGTCTTTTATAAACTGAAAACCATGTAAAATTAGTATAATAAATCACACAGTGAGGGGTCATAAAAAAAACTTCCCCAGTATACGAACTCCTAGTGGCCTATTCATTTAACCAATTGAAATGAACTTTCAGATATAGTTATTTGATGTTATGTGCTCAGGATTGTAATGATTTAAAACAATGGAGCTCTTGCGGTTATGTTTACAGTGAAAAAATTTCGGAACTTTTAAATGGCAACACCCCCTCCCTGCAAACTGATCAGCATACTGAAAAGTCATAAATGACATTGGAACACATACGACGAAAATTGCCAGCGAAAAACATTTGCAAAGGAGAACATTGTAAAGAACCAATGACAACACAAGAGAGGAGAGGGGGAAACACTTACTGGAATTAAAAGTTTTCAACTTGGCAAACTTTGCAGATCATGGAGATATTAACAACAATGACGAATGTAAAACTGCAGGATGAATCTGTATAACTTAGTATTTTGTGATTTTTCAATTCTGATAAATCTCATGGATTTGATGTGTACACCTTAGATTTCAGATAATCCCAGAACCAGAAATCCATCAGAGTGAAGTTAGCCACGAAACTACAAAGTTAAAGGAGATAACTCTATCTTGAAATGTTGTAAATATTTTGACAACTAGTAATTAAAAAAAAATGTTTTTTTTTCCCTTCTCATGTTGACTATCCTTTACAATGCTCTTCTTTGCAAATGTATCAAACCAGCAATTTTCTTCATATGTGTGTTCCAACCGCATTTATGGTTTTTCAAAAGGCTGATAAATTTGCAAAGGAAAAAAGTGGTGTTGCCATTCAAAAATTTCGAAATTCTTTCTCTGTAACTGCAACTGTGAGAGCTCTAGTATTTTAAATAGTCACAATCTTAAGCACATACCTTCAAATAACAATATCTGAAATTTCATTTCAATTAATTGAGTGGATGGGTCGCTAGGCTTTCACATATCAGGAAAGTTTTTTTTTATAACCACCCTGCAAATTATTTTTTCAGTGCTCATAAAATTTCCTAATAAGACCTAAACATCGTCTTTCTCCAACAATTGATAAACAAGTTACAGTTTACATTTTTCAGAAGACAACTTCTCAACAGCCTACCAATATCATGGACACTAGAAGCAGGGATAGACACTTCAGTCTATGATATTAATGGAAATGAGCAGTAAAGAGTAAATTATAGATATATAATTAAATCTTAGACGAACAGTACTCTTTTCAGTCTTGTTCATACCTCTTTAAGAAACAACCCAAATTCAGGTTGCTACAATCCACAGATCGGTATAACTCTATGTTATATAACTTTCCTGTTTAAGTATGACAAATAAATGCAAGCATGAGAAATGTCATGTTTAATGTGAAGTTATACCTTCGCTTTTCCTTCAAAAATAAAATTTTTCATATGAAAAATTATATGAACATTCATTCCCAAATATTGATAAAATTAGGCAGCATTTATAATACAAAATACGGCTAAAATTAAAAGAAACACACAAAATTATGAAAATCATACCTGCATCCAAGTTTTTGTGCAATAGGGACTAAACTTTTTACATATTCAGTTTGACTATATCCAGTTACACCAGGTAAAAATATCACAATATGCCTAGTATTATCTGCTTCTAGCCAATCCAGTGCTACAATTCCTCCATCTTTCATCTTCAGAATTTCTCTAATGTATTAACAAAGATATTCCATTTAGGTTGATGAAAACTGATGAAACTATAAAATTAATTATTAATTTATCACACATTATTACATTCATGTATCATTTTTGTAAGTCAAGTTTTTAAAATAATTTTAGAAATACAGGAAATTTTTTCTTTCAACACGTGTTGTATAAAACTGATAAGGCATGTCTTCCAACTTTGAACTCTCACCTTTCCTCAATATTCTGGGTGGTTATAATTAAATTTTCCCTATAAATGGTATCCTACAGCGCAAACAGGTGAACAGAACGCAACGAAATTTTGTATATGAGCTATATACGAGATGCGCTCACAGAATTTCGAAAAAAAAAAAAATTAGTTCCAATTTGTCCACCAAAGAGCACCCTTTTGGAAAAAAACATGAAATTTAACACAATACACAACCAGAACAGGATACAGAAACAATATTAACAGTCCAGAACAAGAATTATGAGTAATATAATGCAAAACCGGGAAAAGCTGTCAGTTGTAGGAGAAAAATGTTGACATTTGCATGCTTGGGAAGATAGGAAGCTTTATGCAAAACAGGTTAGGGTATAAAACGTTTGCCAATGTTGTCATGTTTAAGTTCATGTTTCCGGCTGTACTAATGACGGTCTCTTTAGTTGAATGTGCATTATTGGTGAAGCTGTTTTACGAAAACAATAGGAATGCTTCCGTTGCAGATTGTGAATTTCATCATTGAAAGAACCTACCGCATGGACCAATGTCTACTAAAGGTATCCGGGCCATGATTAAGAGATTTGAAGAGAAGGAGAAATTACGAGTTCAACTTGGAAGAGGCCATAAACCAGTGACGTAAATAAGGGTATGCAAAGAATGCTGTCGCATAGGGGCCCGAAAGATTAAGGAGGCCTTGAATGTGCTGCTGAACTATATTTACGTGTTTAAACTTAAAAGACGATGTATTTTTAAATAAATACTATATATATATATAATAGAATCCGTCTTCTTTTAAATTTCCAGGGCCCCTATACATCATATGACACAGTTAGGAGGCTCTTGGAAGTAGACAAAAAAGCTGAATTCAGTTTTACCTACACCAAAACTTCAACTGGATACAAAGCAGGAGAGCTATATGCTTTTGTTTTTATTCCATTCTAGAGGAAAGCTTTTAAGTCATTAGTGATAACTGCAGACAGACTGCTCTTCGGGTTTATTGTGAGAACAAGTCCTTAATTTCTTGAGGCCAGCATGTGGCAAAGACGACAGAAATGAAGGACTCTTGAAGTCCACTAAAATTCCCAGAGCTCCCACTTTTAGGAAATTTTGAATTGTAGCCACATGTCAAAGTTTCCTGTAAATAAATAAAGAGCGAGTTGGCTGAGGGTAAGAATTACTACTTTTCTTGCACATTGTAGACTTTACACCAATTCTTGTCTTAAAGCTCGGTTATGCAATTCATTTATTGACATAAATTTTACGATAATGGTTTAATCTCAAATAAAAGTTAAAAAAAGGTTAAAATCATCTCTCTTCCTCTTTGCTTTCTATTCACGTTTCTCATTTCCTTCGCAGTTTTTCACTTTTTTCCTTTGCCAGATTGAAATAGTTTTCTGCCGTGAAACTCTGACGCACATTAATTTCAATACTAGTTTTCATGTACATAATTTTATGATAATGAAATCTTATTCAGATATTTAAGCAGTTGTTATTTTTAGATATTTTTTTTTTTTTTTTTACTTCAATATATGGTCCACATTATAAAGTTTATCTGCACAAATGTTGTGTACCTTAATTATTAATTTTTTTTTTTTTTTTGTTATTTTAGAAGCACTTTCATGTATTAATGCTTTCCTTCCCTACTCATGATTTCCTCAGTATCATACTGTAAGAAAACTTTTAAATTAAACAGTAAGAAGATTCAATATCGGAGTTTACCATGGAAGGCCGAAGACAAAAAATCTTATCTAAACTAGCAACCTAGTAATGTGGCCTCGAGAGGCAGAACATGCTGTCTTATAATCTAAAGAACTCATCTTAAATACATGCGAGTTAATTTGCATTCTGGCATGGAATTTCTACTGAAATCACTAAAGGCAAACTATCAGAAAATATTTCAGCTGCAGTGATAAACAGCGATGAAAGGTCAGACAATATTCAAACCGCTTTTAGAGATGTAAAAAATGAAAGATATCCATCCGATTCTGGCATTATCCATAAATTTTTACATAGGATAAGAAAGGATTTACTTTAAATTTTGGTCTTTGTAGACAAAAAGATACCGATTTCCCCCAAAATCAAGACAGCAGATAATTTTCTTCTGTTCATTATACAATGATTAATAACTCCGGTTTAGAGGACAGGTTTAGCTTCTTTTGCTTTGTTATTCACTTGAACTTAACAAAGACTATTATGAACCATGTTGGTTAATTTCAAATGAGCACAGACGTGGTTGACAGGAATACAGCACTGGCAAATATTACCCATAAGAAAAAAAGTACGAGGGGAATTTTCATCATATTGTAGCGAAAATTGCTCTTTTCGAATGAGCTCCTCATAGCTTAGCAGAGAAGACACAGGGCTCGAAACCCGAAGGTCCCGGGTTCGAAACCCATCAACGGCAAGATGCCTGATTATTGGTTTTTATGTAAATTTCCTTCTTGTTAATGTTCTCTTATTTATGTAAATTTCTTTCTTATTCTTCCAGACCATTCTGAGTCTGGAATGTTCCAGCATGTTCACTAGCTGTATATAAGTAGCTCTTCATTCAATTCGAGTTAATAAAAAGTCTTGACTTTAGACTTGAGTACTTGCCTGTTCATTTGTAGGATCCCCTCATCTATGCGACAGTTTGGTGGAGGCACCGAGTATTTCTCAGTTACTACGGCAGAGTTATGCCGAAGCCTGCGGATTCGAGGACGTTCTCCTGAGTTTGGACTCTTACAGGATTCGCGTAAAAGATCGAGAAAGATGGTTGATGAGAAGGAAACCGAGCAGAATCCTCCCTAGTTCCGCTTCGAGTAATATCGCACCAATACTGATCCTGACGTACCAACTACCCAGAAGCCTGTGTATATTCACCGAAGACAGCCAAGAAGATACTAATAGATGGCTCAAGGACTTTGATCGAATCGCCAACTATAACCACTGGGATGATCAAATGTGTCTGGCAAACGTCAATTTTTACCTTGGCAGAACCGCTCGACAGTGGTTCGATAATAATGAAGACACATTTACCAGTTGGACTGTTTTCAGGACTGCTCTTAAGAGCACTTTTTCCCGAGCAGCTGATGTAAAGCACCAAGCTGAACGAGTACTACTCACACATGCCCAGCAAATCGATGAGACGTCTGAAGCTTACATTCAAGATGTTCTCGCTCTCTGCCGAAAAGCGAACCCATCCATGTCTGAAGACGAGAAAGTGGCCCATATCATGAAAGGTATTGCTGAAGACTTGTACCAGGTCCTGTCGTCCCAGGACTATGACAGCGATGATGCCTTCGTGAAATGCTGCCATAATATAGAAAGCCTTCGATGAAGATGTATCGCCAGATCACAATTCCAGAGACTGCCTAATGTCTCCGCGCTGTCGGCCGATGCAGACGCTGGTGGACTAAGGTCTATAGCGCACGCCACCATCAGGGAAGAGCTTCAAAAGGTCCTGCTGCAAGTTCAGGGCTACATGGAATTAGAACCAGTAGCACCGAATGACATAGCATCTGTAGTCCAGGAAGAAGTTATAAAGGCACTGGTACCACTCGCAGGATCAGGGAGAAGCAGAAACACTACCCAACGTTCACTTCCAGTTGGGTCGCAGCCAAGACGTGAAGCTAGCCAGAGAACTGCTCCACAACGTAGGACAGATCTGTGGAGACTCATGATATTGTGCCTCTCTGTTTTCATTGCGGATGCCCAGGACATGTTCTGAGGTACTGTAGATGCCAGATATTTGAAAATGCAAGAGCCGCAAAGACATCCAACCCTCGACGGGACAGGGATACTGAATTAACTCGCATGTATCCGCGATGCTCTATCAACCGCTGACAATCGCAGTCACCAGTACGCTGTTCTAGCCATTCCCCACGCCGAACCAATGAGGAAAACTAGCTCAAGCGATCTATACAGGAGGTAAGGCCGCAGATGGAGAAAATCCTCCGACGTACACCACAGCCAAGTTGAAAAAGAATTATTCTGTCATATCCGAACAGTTACGTCGACAGCTAAATGCTCCTATGTTTGCTGAGAATGGACCTGTATTGAAAACTGCCTGTGGTAAAACTGTAGCCGCCTCGGGACGCTGTGTAATAAAAGTTGATTTGAATGGGACTAAGAAGCCGTTTGAATTCTTTGTGCTTCCTGAATGTAGTCATCAAATGATACTTGGATGGAACTTTTTCCGTGCCACTGATGTTCTTATCGATTGTGGAAATCAAGAACTTACACTTGCAGAAATCCTTTCAGACAATGAATATTTAAATAAGTCAGAGCCCTCCTTGTTTGCCACAACCGATTATGTAATTGAAGCAAACACCGCAAGGCAAATATGTGCCCTGAATTCAGAACTACGGGAAGCAGATGGAGCTACGATTGTTGGAAATAGATTTCTGATGAGCGAAAAAGAACTATCGATACCAGCTTCAATTGTCACTATAGAGGATAGTTGTGGTAAATTATGGGTAACTAATTGTTCTCGATGACCCCAACTAATACCGAAAGGGACGAATGTAGGCTGTTTAACAACCATAAAAAACGACGCTATTTGCTCCCTAAGTGGTCAGGGTCCAGAAGGTTCCAAGCAACATAGGTCCAGGAAAAGGTTATCTCAAGAAAACTTAAAAGAAATTTTCGATACTGATTTGACCAATGCTGAGAAAGACGAGCTATTGAGTCTACTAGATGAATTTAGTGACATTTTTTACTTTAACAGTACTGCGAAAAAATCCTGATGCAATATTGTGAAGCACAAGGTTGATACAGGTGACAGTGCACCAATCAAAAAAAAAAAAAAAAAAAAAAACCATACTGTGTGTCAGCCACTGAGAGGCGTGATTGCAGACAAAGTGCAACAAATGCTGAAAGAAGATGTGATACAACCATTAGAGCGTCCATGGTCATCTCCAGTTGTGCTTGTGAAGAAGAAAAACGGTGAATGGCGTTTTTGTGTCGATTACAGAAAATTGAACAAGGTAACTAAAAAGGACATCTGTCCGTTACCTCACATCGATGATGCTTTGGACTGCCTGGCTGGAGAAAAATATTATATATGTATGCATCTTTAAGTCATTGTGATATGATGCTTTCACAACCAAAATATCACCTGCGAAAGACGCAATAACAAGGTCTATGTGACATCTGCAAAGACGTAATAAAGACGTCTTTGCAACGGTTGCAAAACAGTGGAGTTTCACAGACATCTGCGCATCTTAAAGACGACATATTGCAACGTTTTTGCAACACGACTCGCGACCAGTTTGCAACATCGTTATGACGTTGCCATGCTACTTGGGTATGATCAAGATGTTTAAAAAATATCAGTTGTTCACTTCTACGCCTATCGAGCGTACTAAACCCAACTTAAAGGTCAACACGGTGGTTCTTGTCATCGAAGATGGATCTCCACCTTTAGCTTGGCCTATAGGACAGATCATCGATGTCCGTCCGGGCAAGGACGGCTTAGTTCGCGTAGCTACAGTCAAAACTAAAACTGTCTTCAAAAGACCAATTAATAAACTTTCACCTTTGCCTGTGTATCAGGACTAAACCTGATAGGGTGGGAGTATGTTCACTTCCACGCCTATCGAATTAATTTCCACCTTTTTGTTGCCCTACGTTGGCAACATGCTTTTCAGTTTTGTCGTTCGTAGAATTCGGTCGCTAAAAGCGTAGCTGACTTGTAACGGTTGTAATTCCTATTTTATAGCTTATCTGTACTGTTGAATTATTACTAAATGTTTACGTATAATGCTACATTATTAAATGTATTCAGTTTGGTTTAAATAGACCGAGAGTGACTGAATTTATTAAGTATATTTACAGTCGAAACTACGCCATCCATTTCGGTGCCATTCTAACACAGGAGCATAAACAATCAGTTTATATTAGCTCGAAGAAAAATATAAAAAATGAAAATACTGGATGACAGATGCTACTGTTCAAAACAGATTTTTTTTTTTTTTCCAAGCAAGAAAGTTCTGTTAATTCTGGATAATGCTCCATGTCATCTTATTAAGTAAAGTTGACTAAATGATATCCTTAATCTTACTTTTTACTTGCTATTACAACAAGCAAATCACAACCTTTAGATCTTGTTAAGTCACTTAAACTTCAGTATCAATATCGCAGAATGACTACTCTAATAGCACTTGCAGATGCAGTAAAACACATAGATAAACTGATCAGGAATATTAATTTAGTTGATGTAGTGAAATACATAAAAGATTTATACTACTGATCAAAATATGATAATGAAATATTTTAATACAGTAATTTTAATTGCAGGTTGCCTGAAGAGAAAGATACAAATGAAGAATGCTTCACAAACCAGTTAAAACAATCAGTTCATAATTCAGGAAATAAAAAGGCAGTTACTACTTTAGAAAGGAACATGATTTACCAAAAGAGAAAAATCTAACAAGCAAATTTCATTGAAAAACATAAGTTTTAAAAAATTTGCCAAAAATTTATATGCCTTTCCCTAAATACACACACACATATTTTTTGTTTGTTTTTATAGATTTAAAATATTATTCATTTAACAATACTTGAGAAAATGAAGTTTAAATAATCACACTTTACTTTTCCTGTTATTCATTATGATTAAACTTTATTAACATAATATTAATTAGCCAATGTAGCAGTTAATAAACTAATATATTCCACATTTCTACTTCAGTTTCTACTTTTGTTAAAAGACCTCCAAGAGCTTTGAATAGGATTTATTTATTGTGTGCCATCAACAAATGTCCAAAAGGTAACATCAAAATTAAGTATAACAGCTAATATAATGTTCCACATAAATGTTTTAAAATAACTCCAATATTTTTATGGTCTGTTATTTTGATCCTTTTCATCTATAACTAAAACCCACCTGACATAAAATTCAAATAAATTTAGACGGGTAGGTCTTTTATCATTACATAGCACATATACCATATATTTCTTAGCATACATAAGCATTCGAAAAATGACATTTTTTCCCAGCAAAATGCACTTGCAAGCTGAAGAAAAGACTAGATTTGTACTTTTTTTACAAGATTTTGATCCTTATGCTACCAAATAAATGGGCAGTATCTGTACATAAAATCTTACCTTTTATAGGGTAAATCAGGTAGTCTGCCACGAGCCATGTTAGCAATAGCTGTTTGAGCATGACTTCCAAAACTCCAAATGGTTGGCCAATATCGGTATTGAAGTACAGGACATGAATCTAACAGAAAGGATTTGAAATTTCCATCTTGACAAACTAGTATGGGATGCTAATTGATAGGAATAATTATATGAGATTAGAAACAGACATCTACTCAAAACCATGTTCAGAACTACACTGGTGAAATAAATTAAGAAAATTTGCATATTTTATCAAATTGCATGAAAAGAACTGAACTGAAGGAAAAACCACCGCTTCTAAATAAAAATGCAAATCTTGTAAGGCAAATACGTCAGAGTGCACATGTGTGTAGCCAGAACCAGCAGAAAAACAGGCTTTATAAAGCACATGGAGGGTAAGACGAATTGCCGTCGCTAGCACACCTCGGCGAATTTCTTGGTGTTATCTTGCAGCAATCAGTAAATTCACATCGGAACAGTAAAAATGAGTAACCACCAATGTTTTGATGATGGAATGAGGTGGCGAATTGTGGGAAGGCTAGAGGCAGGCCAATTGCAAATTCAGACATGTAGAGAGTTCAATTTAATGCCCAGCATCATGTGCAACCTATGGAAACAGTTCCAGGATATTGGATCCATCAAGAGAAAGCCTGGGCAAGGTTGTCCAAGAGCCACGACGGCTAGAGAAAATTGTTATTTGTCCATTTTAGCGAGGCGTAACAAAGAGGCTACAGCTTCTCAGCTCTCTCAGGACCTGTATGCAGCCACAGGAACCCATGTAACAAGGGTGACTGTTTCCAAAAGACTGAATGAGAGAGGGTTGCTTGCCAGAAGATCGGCTGTTTGCGTCCCACTCACGTCTATGGACAGGAGAGTCAGATTAGCATGGTGCAGGCAGCATAGTGATTGGAGTACAGAGCAATGGGCAACCGTTCTGTTCATCGACGAGTCCCGTTTTCGCCTAAACACCGATTCTTGCCCTACTTTCATATGGAGAGAGCCAGGGACCCGCTACCTACCCTCCAATGACCGTGAAATCAACAATTATGGCAGTGATGGTGTAATGGTCTGGGCAGGCATCATGTTGGATGGCCGCACATCTCTCCACATCTTTGACAGAGGCTCTGTGACTGGTGTGAGGTATAGGGATGAGGTCTTGGAGCCCTATGTGCACCTTTTCCGGGATGCAGTGGGCCCAGAGTTCATCTTACAGGACAATAACGCAAGGCCACATAGAGCTTTTTTGGTCGACAAATTTCTCGAGAGTGAGGATATTCGCCAGATGGATTGGCCAGCCAGGTTTCCAGACATCAATCCTATGGAGCATGTTTGGGACGCTCTGGGGAGGGCAATTGCAACTCGCAACCCCTCTCCGAGAACCATCCAGGAACTGAAAACAGCGTTGCTGAATGAGTGGGACCAATTGCCACAGGCACTGATAAACTGCCTTATTTCCAGTATGACATCCCACTGCAAGGCCTGTGTGGCTGTAAGAGGGGACCACACCCCCTATTAACCCATTTCTTTTGTGTCTTCTGCAACCCCTGCTTCAGAGTCCCAAGAGTGTTACACACGAACATGTGTGTCTATTATAACTGTTGAATGTTTATTTTGTTTGTATTATATCAATCTATGTTCACATTAAGTTTTATTAAAATCTGTCCAGTAGTTCTGGGTATCGTACATCAAATATGAAAATTCTCTTAATTTATTTCACCAGTGTAGTTCAAAATAAGCATCTATTTAAATACAATCTCCATACTGTTATAAAATAATGGTAACAGATTTTTCACTCTCTTATAACACAAGAGAAAAAATGTGGGCATACAGTAAAATAGAAAGTGAGAACAAACTAGAAATAAAATTGATATTAATAAACAGCACAGCAAAATTGTATGATAAGTTTCAGAGTTGGTAATACATACATGAGCAATGAAGTTTACAATTCTGGCATCCAGTAGCTGTGCTCAATGCCTGATCCATAATATTTCCACTTACCAACTGTTTAATTGCACTTATAAAAGTTAAAGACTTTACTTATGCAGTTATAATTTTATCTTCAATTAAATCACACATGGAAATAAAATGCATCTGCAGTTAAAACTGTTAAGTTTTAAGTAACTAAATACAGTTAGCATTTTTAACCTATTAAACAAATTTACTACAGAAAAAGTTGGAATGTAACATGATGAAAATTAGTAGCACTAAATGCTGATGGTGACTCCCTAACCAAGATGTTAGCATATGGGAATTGCTGCTAACTTAGTGAGAAAACACTAGTTTCTTTCTGGCAGTGCATATGGCTAATTTTTCTGCAATAAGTGACAGGGTTATAACATTATTTTGGTGCAGCATGAATATATGTATTTACTAGATTGTTATGGTAGACTTTACTGTTGTATGGCACAGTATTTGCAAGAAGACTAATACTGTTACACTGCTAATATTCTGAGACACAAAATATATTGTTACAATTACAATGTAAAAAGTAAAGTACAAATGTGGCACAGTGTTTTGAAATACAAGTCCTTATACAAGTGTTTACATAAATATAATAGTTCCACAAATACTGATGCTAAGACAAACAGCAACACAGAGAAATATGAGAATAAACATGAACACAAAGCAAACAATGAGCTGATTAATATCAAAACATACATTAATAATATAACTGCAGGATATATTGTTACCAATTTTCTGTATATGTAAATAATTTTAAAGAAACTGCCATAGCTTTTTCATAATGTAACATGAAGTGCTTGGAAAAAATAAGGTTACAGGGGCAAGTCAATTTAACCTGCAAGCACATGCGTTGGGTATCTCATACCCGAGGTATATTCTTTGTTCCTTATCTCCAAAACTCTTTTCTGGAAATGGGTGAAACCTTTGGTAGTTGAATTCGTGGTCACATTCTTGAAGCTGTAAAGTCCATGGACTGATTCTTGGAATACTTCTCTCAGAATACTACCGTTGGAGTATGTGGCACCTGCACGCCTTCTCGCTTCCCTCAAATTTAGTCAGCATGGCCTGGCATCTAAGTTATGATAAAGAAATGTAAAAGCTGAGAAATATGTTAGAAAGCATTTGAACAGATGATGAATTGTTCAGCGAAGAGGAAGAAGATTTAATTGATGAAGAATACAACAGTGGTCATAATTCATCAACAGACAATGATATAAACACTAAATTAGATAGTGAATTAAAAAAAGAATAAAATGATGAAAATTATGTTGGTAAAAATGGCTCGATATGGAAGGAAACCAAATTTCAAATGAATGTTAGGAATAGCTCTGAAAATGTCATCTTCAAAATTCCAGGAAATGCAGGTTACTCAAACAATGCATCAACACTGTTGGATTCCTGGTCTTTGCTTAAAGGCAAAGACATGATAGAAATGACAGTTCAATGTACAATGAGTCTGTTCAGGAGCGATTTGTATGTGAGCACGATGTAAAGAAAATGAATAAATATGAAATCAAAGCACTTTTGAGACTTATGTGCATATGTGGTGTTTAAAAATCCTGTCGATGTAAAAGCTCTGTGGGCAACAGATGCAAATGAAATGGATATATTCCACACAAAAAAATGTCCTGCAAGAGATTCCTTTTCCTACTAAGATGCCTTCGGTTTAATTATAACCGAGATTGTCCGAATAGAAGAGGTGTAGATATAGTGGCTCCCATAACACAGTTTTTTAAAAAATTCGTTGAGAATTGTCAGAAAGTCTATAGGTACTAACTGTAGATCAGGGTTTCCTCAACTTTTTTCAGTCACGACCCCTTTTAATCACTAAGATTTTTTTCACGAGCCCCTAGACCCCATTATATTTATGAAAATTTTGTGGGACCTCACGAGCATCGTGCGAATTCGACACACGCCTGTGTGAAACTTTTGATTTTTTACCTTGTACTGTAATATACTAGTGCAGTTTTAGGTCACTAACTTTAATTTCTAATTTTAAGACATAGAACAATGTGAAAATTTTAAATAAGTAACAGACAAATTGACAGCGTTACGTGCAAAGCAAGTAAAAATGAATATTTCTATTATAAAAAGAATGCATCGAAATGTTTTCCTTTTTTCTTTGTCTGTATTGTCTTATCTTTATCTATTTTCAGATACATTGTGTAAAAATATTTGGTAATTGTAAAACTATTATAATAAGTTAAAGAAATATCAAAACTGCTAAATTTTTTGTCGACCCCCTGCTGCAAGTCCTGCAACCCCCACGAGAGGTCGTGAACGCTGTTTTAAGAAACGGGGTTTAAGAAATGCTGCTATAGGTGAATATGTAACAACTGAAGAAAAATTAAAACCATTCAGGGGACGATGTACACTGCACAAAAATAAAAATGGGACAGTCCTGTATCTCCCGTTTTACTGGCCGATTGACGAAATTCAACTTGTGTTTTTCAAGTCTTGAAAGAGCAACTTAGGATATGTATTAGATTTATATTTAGCATTGTTTTAATATAGGTATTTTGACACAAAATCGGACCTTTTTCTGAAATGACATGCCAATTTTTTTCATATTTCGATTCTACGACTCCAATTATACCAAACTGCCAAGTCTAGTAAAAATCGCACAAGTAGTTTTTAAAAAATTAGCTCTCAAAATTTTAGCTCCTCAATGTTAACTGAATTTGATATATATTTATTAATATCTCTTTTTTTATTAAACTTACTTGATTCCTTCTTCCAAAATTCAAAATTTAAGTTTAATCCAAATATAATTCACACATTTTTTTTATGATTTATTTTTTAAATTTGTATTTTTAAACATTTCTTATAAATTTTCCGAAAACATTTTTGTATCATAATGTATAAAATTTTTAACATCATCTTAAAGTAGATGTATTTCTAGGCACCCCTGCAGAAAAGATTTTTAGTCAAAATTTTCTAAGATATACGTGAATTTAAATATTGGTGCGTTTTAAAATTTGGCATCTTTTTTTGAGTGATAATAACGCCAAATATAGTTTATGGATTTCATTAAAATTATTTGAAACTATGAACAATAACTTTATTTCTGCTTGTGTACAATGAAACAAAAAGGAAAGGAAAATAGGTTACCATAAATTAAGAAGTTGACCATGTAAATTATTCTTGGCGCAAACTTGGAAAAAAAAAAAAAAAAAAGCGCTAAGGT